ATATACATACATACACACACACACACATATATATATATATATATATATATATATATAATACGCATATAGGTACAAAAAAAAAAGCGCGCAAGGTATGCGTTACAGGACCAGTATGGCTGCTTAACAATGGGCTGACGATACAAATAAACCTGGGTGATCAATTAATCAATCGTCACGAGGAGAGATAGCTAAGGAGGTCGGACGTTGAGTGTGTCTCATAAATTTCGACTGGCGTGCGATGCTGTTTACCGAGGGGACGACTCCACTCTCGGTTAATGTATAGAATGGGACGTGTCGCGCCTCTGGCCCTTCAATTAGCATATTTCTGTATGGGTTATTGATTTTCTTTTTCCTTTTCTTTTTTACTCTGTTCACCTATTCTGTTTTTATTGATATGGTGCCTTTCGATGAGAGCGATGCGTAACGCTTAAATTATCTGTACCTCCATATATGGTTATATGAATGTGATGCAAGTATACAAGCATTTAAATGGTCTATAGATAAAAAATGTTACTGTAATCTGTGTAGTATATATTATTTGGATCTTTTTTAAAAGAATTGAAACATTTCGGGGATAAAAAAATTTTTTTGTAGTTTAATAATCATGGAATGTTTATTCTGAGTTGCAATTAAGTGTTTGAAAATTGAAAAACCGTTAACATTGGGTTGATATACAAATGTTTCTGAAAAATTATGTATAAATGTAAATATTGCAACTTAAAACATTTGCAATTCTTAGGAGTCACAAAAAAAAGGTCGAATGTAAAACCATAAAATATTTTTTTAACTACGTATAAAAAACGTATACCTACACATTAAACAGTTATAGAAATACTACAACAAGGCACATAGTTTTATAAAGCTTTATTCAAAAAATAATGAATTAAATTGTAATTGCGCGAAAAAAAACTTTAATTCGTAATTTTTAATCTCTGAGTGCTTAAACTATAAATAATAGAAAAAAATTCGACGTGCATGTTAACTTTTTAAAATTCTTATTGAATTTCAGTGTTTCGCAAAATTTCTTTAACTCTTTGAATTATTCTACGTAAGGAATTCTAAGTGAAAATAATTATACGGTGAGAATTAGTCCTTTTAACTAATGTATTGCAACTTATTCAAAATTTGTTTTAAAACAGGTTATTATTTTTTTGGTAATAGTGTTGGTTGGTGATGCGCTCTCGCGTTTAAGTGAAAATAATTATACGTGTAAAAACTTTCATGTCATAGTGTATGCGTGAAAACGTATAATTGAAAAAAATTTTTCAATGTAAAATACTCTGAACAAAATAGTATAACGAATTTAAAGAAAATTTTCAGAATCAAAATCGATTGAAAGTAATGAAGTTTGAGATAAATGTTTTAGTCGTCTCGATAAATCCTCTTTTTAACATGATAACGATCTTATTGTGCAAGAAATCCAATATTTACCATACAGTTACTTGAAAATAAGGAATTAAAAATCTACATAACTTGTTAAAGAACTAATTAATTTCCCAACCTCCATCTTGTTTTATAGAAATGATTAATGTATAAAAGTTATTATATTCATCTTAGAATGAATGGAATCAGTACGAGTCCAAAGGTGAACAAGGTCATGAAAAAAGTAGGAAGTTCATCAAACAGTTAAGTCTTTATCTCGTGGTATCGTGAAACGTCGTAAAACGAAAGAACGTAATAAAAAAGGAAAAAAAGCAAATAAAGTCAACCGCGTATCTCTAAAGATACATTAAAAGCAAAAGAGCTCGCTTATACATACTTATTCCAGGGCTGCTTTACTTTTACAGGCTGAAGAGAGAGAGAGAGAGAGAGATATTATATAGAGAGAGAGAGAAAAAAAGAGAGAGGCAAAAGTGTGCGACGGTGTGAAATGGAATTAATTATAAGAACGTCTCAACAGGTGGCTGGCTGCGAAGGCACGTCTTTAACTCTTGGTGCGAGAGGGACGGAAACGTCTAGCCATTCAGTACACCCACTCCTTCTCCGCAACCACTACCACCATTACCGCACCACCAGTAGCGACTGGCGACCCCCTTCATTGGAAGCCGCACGTCCGAGCGTCTTTCTCTCGAGTAATTTGCTAAGAAAATAAATAGCGGCCTGCTCGATGGGAGAGAAAAAATGGGAAAGCTGTTACTTTTTTTTTTTTTTTTTTTTTTCAAGCATTGATATAGTTGGCTGGCTCTCATTCTCCGTTACAATCTTGTTAGCACATTAATTGAGACGACCGGGCATCTATTGAAATGGCACTAAAGAGACGATCGTTGACTTTGTCACTGTACTATGCTCATTGAGAGAATGAGGGGACAAGGGAGGGAGTGCTTAATCGTCGTTTACCTTCTATAGCTTCAGATGTTTGCACGGTGTGATTCGAATAATTAGTGGTGTAACAGGGCGATACTTGAGCATATAAAAGTACAAATATTTATTTTCAATTTACGTACATCTATTTTTCTTTATTTATTGTATGGATATCAGGTAGTCTCCTCGTACGTTTAGAAATTTCTAACGGCAAATGTTGCAACGATGATTTATTAAAAATTTAAATTAGAATATACTTTGGTGCGTAAAAAATTAACTGAACAATACTTGTATTTTTTGAACCAAAACATCAACTCTAAGCTGAAATTTTTATCACGGTAACGAAAATTCGGCACAATTATTTTATTGATAATTTTTAATATTTCGAAAGGAAGTATTATTTTGTAGAATTGTATGTGCTATATTTGCAAACAAATTTTTTTAATTTTCACTGCTGTGATTAACAAACATTATTCTCGCTAAAAATAGTGCAATATTAAAAAAAAAAAGTTTATTAAAAGTATTTGAGTATTAAAATGAAAAGTATTTGAGTATTCCAAAAAAAGCCAAATCGATACGCTAATAAATAAACAATCAGTTTCATCCATATCAAATTAATTGACTTTCCTTACAATTATTCCAATTCCTGAACTTACAAATATTTTAATTTTTACTACAAATACAGGGTGGCATGGTAAATACTGTTCTTTTCATAGATACTACACGCAAAGTACCAATAAATGTAAATGTGATGGAGAGTTTAAAAAAAAAACCTATTGTACGGAAGACAGTTTATTATTATAAATATACCGGTAGAAGGTTAAATAAATACGGGCACGCGATGTTCTCTGGCGTATAATTCTCTTGCTTTGATTAAGTTGCAGATACGCTGACAATACAGCCCAATACACTTGGTGACGCTTCGCTTAAACAACCCGTGCATAATCTCAGGTCCCTTAGTTACTGTACAAGAAATCAAGAAAAGCCAAGTGCAATAAGTAAAAAGAGAGGGAAAAGCATCAGCGTAAGAAGTTTTATCTGATGGGCCGTCTAAACTCCGAAATGCAAAAAAGCCAATCACCTGAGAGCGCATAGCAGACTCTCGGGTGTCTCGACAGCGAGTTTTACTCACATACATATAAGCGAAATCGACGTTGCGAATCAGTTTCCGAAAGTTCGAGGCAGCACCAACTTTTCTCCCGACCATTCATCCGGCCAGCCAGCAGCCATCCAGTCCTTATAGGTTTTTACCTCGTCCCTCCCCATTTATACATGTATATGTATACCCTCGAATTCCCTATCGGGGGCATTTTAATCTTTCTTCGGAAAAGCCGCCGGCAGCAGAAACTCTCCTATCGGGTAGTTTCATTTCAATCTCGTGCTCCTCCGTAACCCCTCCCTCTTTAACTCCTACTCGCTTCTCTTCCTCTACACCCGTGTATAAACACATACACACCATCATCCAACTACCCTCGCGCTTTTGGAGAAACGAGAGGTTAACTATACATTATGCTGATATGGAGGAGGAACGAGACAGAGCGAGCTGTATTGCAATATACACATTGATATTTATGTTTACGGTCACCTCCCTCCCAGTGCCACGCCACTACTTATACTGTTTTACTTAAAAATACACGCATGCTAGGTTACTTGAATACCTACATGCAATAAGCTCTAAAACATTTTGAAATACAGCATACTATAACTAAAAATAAAAATTTTT